ACAAGTGCTAGTAAATACTTGTAAACTGGTAAAGGTAGAAAGTATCAGCAGTAGTATTGGTATTGGGATTAGTCTTAGCAGTAGCATTACGATTAGCATGAGCATGAGCAATAGCAGTAGGATTATAGTATTAGTGATCAGAATTAGTATTAGTATTCGTACTAGCATTCATATGTGTACTCGTAGTAGCATTAGTACTAGTATTGGTATTCGTATTGGTATAGCATCACCATGAGCGTTAGCATTAACATAGTATAGTAACGTTGGTATAGCATGCTATACTTAGTTTAGAAAAAAGTAGTAAGACCATCATGGTATATCATGGGCAGCCGCTCCGAGGAAGGCCTTGGTAGCGGCTACACTGGAACGACAACTCCGCCTACGACACGCGCATGTTCCAGACTTCGGTGCTTTGGACTTCAGGGATAGAGGTGAAGCTTAGGTACTGCCCCCATACAGTAAGAGTCTATAACAAAGCTACTATAAAGGTCCTAATATAGCTATATTATGAATATTATGCAACTATTACTGAGTGGGGGCCGTACACAAGGTGAAGCCAAACTGTAAGACCCGGGTTAGATATCACCATACAGTTCCACAAATTGAGAACAATCAGATCCAACAACCATTCTGCTAACTAGGGCCCCTAAATACCACTCTGAATCCCACAACCTGCGACGCAACAAGAAGAATAAGCCCTTCGGACGCAAGAGAGAACAAAGTCCAAAGCACGGTTCAATCCTTGGCGTTTGCAGTCTAAGTTTAAGTTTAAGGGCCGAGGCCCTATCCTCAACGCTAAACCCTACTTAGAAGATGGTTATATAGGCCCTTTCCCCGTCACTATGCAAGCCCCTGCTGTTCAGAGGAGGGGTGGGTTCAGGTTCAAGCCTGCCTAAGAGCTAATGCAAGCAGAACGCAAATGAAAAAGCACATCACACATGCCTACACCACCCTAAACCCAGAACCGCCTAAGCCCTAACCCCTCACACTCGCCGAAATCAAAATCCTCAACCCCCCAGTGCCCTAAATCCAAGTTCCTTCGAAGGGCTTTGTTTCCTCTTGAAAGCCCCTCTCGGAACTCCGGAGCCCGAATCTCAGCGCGGAGCAGGAGACATCCGGACCTCATCTTCGCATATGCTAATGCCAGACTATCGAGGCCTTCGTCATCAGAATAAGGTTTTGTAGTACAGCCTAACCGGTGTAATCCAATTACATGCATGTGTATATATATATATATACATACATATACATATAGGGCTGGAAGCGGACAGATAACAGTAAACATTCAGACCTCATTGACTCTTCAAGACCGTCAGCAAAAGCATTGACCACACGCGAACAAAAATACAAGCCCAAAGCCACTTACAAACCGTCATAGCAAGCACAACAGCCCCTCGACACAGCAATGTAATCCCAAGATCAGGAAAGCTTCGGGAACAGCAGGGCACCTTGTTGGCTTGGTTTCACGCCTCCTCTAAGCATTCGGGTGAATGGCTTCCCTGAAGTATCTAGGAAGGCTTGACGCTTTAAGCTTTGTTCGTGCGGCAGACACTGTGGGGTTCAAGCTGGTCACTGTGAGCGTGAGAGCCTCGGTGAAAGCATTTTGGCCGTGCTCTTTGGCACTGCCTCGGAATCCCAGTACAGGTATGGAACGGTTTGCGACATAGTCCTGAATCGCATGGCAGTCGTGCCTCTCACTCCGCGGGCAGATGGGGGAAAGAATTTCGGCCGTGGTGTCGTAATGTAGAGGCCTTAATAATTAGAATAGGATTTGGGGTCCATGATACTACAATTAGAATAAGGAACCACCAGTACAAAAAAGGTAACTGCTAAGGCCCCTTTCTTAGTGGTTTTCTTGTGGTCGCCTCGTCCGTGGTGGCATCGTGGTGCTGCATTACCGCTTGGGGGATCTTATGCTGGCATTCGACGACTTACCTTTGGTTAGTAGGGAATGGAAGGGGCCTAAAAAAGGGGTCAATAAGGGTAACTATAGGGGTGCTCTAATATCGGGGCCTTAATAATCCCATAACTTACCTTTGGTTGGTAGGGAACGGAAGTAGAATGGTAGTAATGGTAGTTGTAATTGTACCCCATTCCTCCATTCCCTATTGACCAAAGGTAAGAAGATGAGCATTGGGTGAAGTCCAACTTGCAAGTTTTGAACAGACCAGACGAGAACCCATTGGCTTACGACTGCGATCGAAAGCTTCCGACTATATACTGTGCTGAGAGAGTCAGCTAGAAAAGCAAGTCTTGCCGAGACTTGCACCCCAAACCACAAAACCCTAAATTCCAAACCCCTTTAAACCCTAAAACCGTCTCTGAACCCCAAACACTCTCCACTTGAAGCGATCATTTTCGATTCACGCAGAGGAGACTTCTCCGTTCGGAAGCGAGCCAATACGTGCGAGGAGGAACGCGTGAACTGCCGCGGCATCCACGTGCATGGGGAAGTGGACCTCTCGTGCTGAGGGTTTAGGGCTCTAGGGGTAGGGGTTTGAGGGTTGAAGGCAATAGGGCTTAGGGCTTGAAGGCTTCCAGAAATTGAGTCAGGTAGGGCTTGATGCGCCGTTTTCAATCATTTTCGGGCCCTTTTATGCCTGCCTGGATACCAGCGTCTATACCGGGCCCTCGGCCTGTTCAAGAGGATTGAAGAGCACTTTACATGATTAGTGGGGTCGTAGTAAGAGGCTTGTTGACACTAAGCTTTCAGGTTCAGACAATACAGGGACCCTAGGCTTGGGAGTTAGAGGCTCTTAATACACAGCATCCGAGCCCTTTGCTCTTAACCAGGGTTATTGCTCCCAGCCATCACAAATGCAGCCAGGACAACTAAAGGTACATTTCAGAAATTCGATGTCCGGCCGAATTGTTCGATGTCGGCACTGGATGAGGCCGGATCGAGGACAGGATTGAAACTGGGTTTCTTAACACCCTCTTCAACAACCGGATAATACATCAAACTGTGAAACACCAGGATCTTGAAACCAAAAGCCAGCCGGTTTAGATACGAAAGCTCTCTTGTGCCTTGTCGCTGGCCGGTGGCGGGGGACTTTTCGGTCCACCCCGGCGGTCCACCAGCAAAACTCCTCGCGAGACCTTGGGTTTAGGGATCTCAGGATTGCTTGGCGCCTGTTGAGAAGAGTTTGAGCCTTTATGGTAAAATCTGTGCAAGGTTTCCGTCAAATAAAGATTCGCAACGATGTCTACCAAAATAGAAGCTGAGGGTAAGGTTTAGGGCCAGGGGCTTTACAGGGTATGAAACTTGACAGGAGATTCCTTGTAGGACCATGAAGCATCATGCCCTATGGGTCCATGTACCCAAATAGTATAGACGTTGGGCCCAGTGTACCTATATAGGGACTACATTAAGGCCAATCAATGTATATGGGAGTTTCCGAAAATTAGGGGCTCATTTGGGGTCCTTATACTAAGGATCCTACTATTTAGGGTGCTACATTAGGGTCCCCTATTTTCGGAAACTCCCATATACTATTTTAAGTACATGGACCCTTAAACCCTAAACCCCTACAGAACCCTTATAGTAACCCTTAAATTAAACGAACCGTAGGATCCCTCTTTGGGTACATGGACCCCCCTGGGATGGGCTCCGAGGCTTGAGATGCGGCAACGTCGAAGATAAGGGACCCTTATGTGGGTGGCTGTCAAAATTATGGTCCCTTTTTGGGTACCCTAAATATTAGGTGCCGTAGTATATTAGGGATCCAAAAGGGACCCTAATTTTGACAACCACCCATGTGGAACTCTGATCGGGCTTAGGGCGTAGTGTTGTGTTTAAGGTGGAAAGTCTAGGACTAAGGGACCCCATGTGCAAAAACGACCAAAGCGTGAGAACACATCTTTGCAAAGCTCTCACCCCCAAAGCCCCAAGCCTTAATTCCTATCCGCACCTATATTCCAAAAACCTCCAGGCCACTAAAGCCCTAACACCTCGCTTAAACCCCAACAAAGCTTATACCTGTGGAACCCAAAGCATGGTAAATTTTTGGTCTTTTGGGAAAGGTGCGTAATTTATTCACTCCGGACGAAGAGTGCGTATTTTCTGTAATCATGTACTTTCGTGTGACAGACCAAGCTTGGCATCGGCCATGAGTGTGGTAGATTCAACAGCCAAAGTTGTGTGTTGTCAGAGCAAACATGTGCCATGCCCATGGTAGCATGCCTGAGAGAAGAATAATCAAGCTTTTCATTTAGTACCATAACAAATCCCGTCAATCCTGTAGATTCTCCTTAAATACCACATGATTCTACACAGTGCATATAAGAGATCGAGTCTCGGTGGTTCATGGTGCCAAATGCTGCTGAGCTCTTCGCTCGGACGTACAACTGGCTAGCTTGTGGTTTTCTTTCGGTTGCTGGTACGTGAGGTTGGTTCGGGAGCATTTTCGTGGGCATGCCAGGGTGGAACAACGGTGGGCGAGCTGCCGTGCGGTCTCTCTAAGAGACAAGGAGCAACCGGGGAAATCGAGCTGTGTATCGTGCACGATGATTGGGATTTTCAGGAGCTTGGGGGACGCAAGCTCAAGGGCCACTTCGTCGTGTGTGCCAGGCTAGTTTCCGAATCCCACCATCTATATAGCCGTTGTGTAAATCTCCCCTCTGGCAGGTGAGATATTGGTTCGACGAGTTCGAGCCAGGCCGTTTTGGGAGTTTTGGTGGTCGTTTTGTCGGCTGCCGTTTTTGTGGGGGAGGTGTGAATGGTGATGCGACATGATGAGTGAGCCCCTCCATGTGTGCCCGGCTAGATTCAAGTTTGTTTGGTGAAGCCTTGTAGGACCCGAAAATAGTAAGCTAAGCCCTTCCTGCGCCAGGCCAGAACCTCGCCCGAGTCTTTTCAGCAAGAGTCAGGCTCGTGGGCACGTTTATTCCCGATTTGCAATGCCATTGTTGTGCACTGCTTTACAAAAGCAACTGCATGAGCTGAGACTCTGCAGATTTTCCTCTCGAGGGTTCACCTTGAAGGCTTTCTGTAGGGTGACATGGCTGCTGCGGGCAGCGCATTCGATGCGCGGGATTTCTCATGGGTGGCACAGCTGCCACTTGTGTGGGATAAGAACCGCTGCTTTCGTGAAAGGAGCCTCAACGGCATGAATTTGCTGAAAGGCATCATCTTGAAGGGGCATGGTGCATCCCCGGTGGTCGTGGGCAACCTGGAGTGCTGCAAGCTAAACGCTGATGTCCTGGCAACCATCCTTAAGATCATGGGTGACGTGGGGTGCATCTTTGTTCCGAGGGTGTACCTGTTGCAGGGGGCTTGTTTGGAGTTCCATTGCAGCGCCGGCTACCCCGATGCCCTGACCCTGGGTGGTGCAGCTTATTCGGATGGTTGGGGTTTGAAGCGACAGCTCGGCTTCTTGAAGCGCAAGTGGATGCGTGATCAGAAGCCCCGGGTCCCTCGTTTTAGATTCATGGAGTTGTATAATTTCCACGAGTTAGTGTTTCGATCTTAGATTGCCATGTGTGTTTGTGTGTGTGTGTGTGTGCGAATCAGGACAAGACCCTTCGCAAGCTCGTGGCAGAGTTCGAGCGGGCTTTCAAGAAGTTGAAGCAGGTGGCCTGGCAGTGAAACCCCTGTGCAATTTTTGGGTTAAGAGTTCGAACAGAGTTCAGACCTTGTTAATTCTGAGGTTGTTGGGGATCGCATCGCGAGAGCTCTGAGAGCTCGAGGGGAGGAAGATGATGACGACGAGGATCCCCAGGCCGACGTGGATTCGGATCAGCCCAGGGGTGATGAAGATCCGAGTCCCAAAGATGATGAGATGGTGCACATGGAGCCTGCTTCTGTGGCAGAGGAGACAGAGCCGGGAAATGCGTCGGTGAGTGTACCTCTGCCCGAAGAGATGGTCGTGCCGGAGCAGGCAGCGGAGCCGGGAAATGCCTCGGTGAGTGTGCCTCTGCCCGAAGAGATGGTCGTCGTGCCGGAGCAGGCATCGGAGCCGCGAAATGCCTCGGTGAGTGTACCCATGGCCGAAGAGACGGCCGTGCCGGAGCATGCAGCTCCAGCGCTTCCTAGGCAGCCTACAAGAGAGGATTTGGAGAGGGAGCTTCGCATAGCTGAGCTGAAGCTCGAGGCCAAACGATTGTAGCTCGACAGCAGTTCGCAACAGTCATATCGTATCATGTGTTGTGCCGGGGCTTCATGGAACGGCTTCATAAGGATGGCAATCGAGCGCAAACGTGCGGCGAAAGAGTTTGCGAAGAGCCTCCCCAAAGGAGCATGTTTCCCATGCATGTGTGAGAGTGTACATCGACAAATAATGAATTTCATGGATTATCTTGCATGCAGGACCTATCCTCCTGGATTCCGATGAGGAGCCTGCCGATGGCTGTAGCAAAGTCGTGTGCCCTGTGAGATCAACCGCCGCATTGGATCAGGTGGAAACCCAGCCTTTCGATTTGTCAACTCAGGTTCTGTTGAACACGTTGTCGGAGTTGGACAAGCCTATGCCATCTCCCGCAAAAAGGTTCGTGGATGAGAAGACAAAAGAGCTTGGTGATTTTGGGTCCCCAAGTGCAGGGGTTCCGGTGGATGATGAGCAGGAAACCCCAAGCCCCAGAGGAATCCAGCCGGTCGAGATCACCCCTGTGAAATCCTTTCCCACACGTGATGAGCAACTCAATGTCAAAGCTTCGAACGAAGATGAGAAGAAGAAGCAGAAAGAAGAGAAAGATAAGGCTAAGGCTGCCGGGCGAGGCAAGGGCCGAGGCAAGGGGCGAGGAAGAGGACGGGGAAAGAAATCGCTTCCGAAAGAGGCGGAGCCCGACGATGAGGAGGCCGACGCTGAGGAGCCGGCTGCTGAGGAGTCGGACCATGAGCCCGATGCTGACAAGGGCTCGGCTGAGGAGGGCTCGGAGCCTCTCCCAGAGGCTTCTGTGAAGCCTGCAGGCAGGGGCCGTGGACGGTCTAAGGCAGCTCAGGCTGCTGAGTCTCGCGGGCGGGGCCGAGGCAAAGGAAGAGGACGTGGAAAGAAGTCGCATCCAGAGGCGGCGGATGGGGCCGACGCTGAGCCATCAAAGCCAAAGGCTACGGATGGGGGCGATGCGCCACCCCGCAAGCGAGCCAAGAAAGCCGTGGAACCCGTGTCAGCCGAGGCTGCTCCCGCAACCAGGGTGCGTGGCAAGAGAGGGGTTGAGAGCGATCCGAGCAGGAAGGTTGTGCCAAAGAAGTGTGTGCAGAAGGACCCTGAATGGCCGAACACTTTTGCTCGTCGGTACCGGCCCAACTCGGACAATTTCACGCAGAAGCTTTGGGAAGGATGTGTGTTGGCTTTCAGATCGGTGCTCTACCCGCACATTGTTCCGGGACAAGCCACCACTACTCAGGTCGGATACAGCTCAAACGAGTTCCCCTATCCTGCCTTCATTGTAAACCAGAACCCTGCATTGCTGGAATCTTAATTCTTCTGCAGTTTCGCAGCTTCCAACCCAGAATCACGCTACAAGGTTCATGTGGACACTGTAGAACAAACCTTGAATAGAGGTAATTAGAAATGAGGTTTGGGGTTTTCGGGATTAGGGTTTTAAATGGTGTATAATAGGGTAGCTTAGGGGTCCAAAGGGGTTTGTGTCGATGCATAGATTCGGCCCGTTTCTCTCTGCTCAGTCCGACAGAACCCTGCATTGCTGGATTCTTACGTAATTGTTCTGCAGTTTCGCACCTTCCAACCCAGAACCACACTACCAGGTTCATGTGGATACTGTAGAACAAACCTTGAATAGGTAATATTAGAAATGGGGTTTGGGGTTTTCGGGATTAGGGTTTTGGGGTCTATATAATAGGGTAGTTTAGGGGTCTAAAGGGGTTTGTGTCGATACACCGTTTCATGTGGACACTGTAGAACAAACCTTGAATAGGTATAATGTTAGATATATATATATATAGGTTTGGGGTCTTCGGGATTAGGGTTTTGGCGGTCTATATAATATAACAGGGTAGTTTAGGGGTCTAAATAAGGTGTTTGTGTCGATGCACAGATTCGGCCCGTTTCTCCCTGCTCAGTCCGACTTCTACGACTTCGCAAAGCAGCATGGCGAGCAGTTGGACAGAGATGCTTCGAGAGTTTCCGTGTACAGAAGCTGCGCAATTGCAGCTGAAAGGTATCTTGACACGATGTAGATCGAAAGCCTGAGCTGCATCACACAGCAATTTATCTGCTTCTAATCCAACACCTAGATCGCTAGATAATCTTCGCGGGTTTCTCGAAATACTCTATTCTGTCAATACCATCTATGTTGTGTTGTGTTCAGCTCCAGCTGCTTGCATTCATAGTGGATGATCGTGAAACAGAGCTGGTCGGGGCAATTGCCGTCTGGCCGAATGTGTTCGCTACCGGGGACATGGGCTAAAGGCTCAGGGTGCGTCCTCACAACGGTGCATGCTGTCAGATAGCAAGCTGGCTTCTCGCACGACCCCATGTTAATTCTACATGCACAACTGTGTTGTCCCTGCTAAGGGCTTTGATCACGGCTTGTGGTGTGCTCTGGGAAAATCGACAGTCTCTTAATTGCTCTGGCCTGTCACTGTGTTTGTGCGAGCTCGACAAAGCACCTATCAGCGCCCTAGCGAAGTATTCTAATATGCTTATATCCCATTGGCCAGGTTCGCAATGCCCTTCGCCGCCACGGCCCTCGGTTCCGCTTGGTCAGTGCAGCTGCTTCGGTGCGCGAGCCGCCGAAGACACGTCTGCCTTTCCAGGTTATTGCAGACTGCCGAGTGCATGTGAGCCTGTCTTTCTGATTGGTGTGGCAATGTGCTGTCAAGGCTGTCATGCTTCGGTGTCGCATGCTGCACCATAGATGCTTGCTGCCGTCTTTCAGTCATGGAAGAAACTCTGGACTGTGGAGAGCGCACACACACCCACACATGCTGTCACATGCTGTTAATTGAGGCTGGGAAATACGACTGACTCCAACTTCCATCGACCCTTACTCAATAGCTCTGTCGTTGGGTACATTTCATATAAACCTTATCGGTTGGGCCTGTCTGATCATGGCCAAGCCGAAATTCGAAGACGTCGCGATCAGCTTGATCCGCCTGGGATCCCCGAAGGCTTCTGTGCAGGGAGGTTTAATTTTTATGGAGGTGTTATTTGGGGAGTTTACAAATGATCCTAGATTGTGATTTTGAAACCCAAGTGTTCGTACTTCAGAGGTGCCAGGTTTCGGGAGTGTGTGGGTGTGTGGGTTTGTGTGTTTAGCAGTTCAAGTCGATATCGTTATATTATATATATATATATGCAAAACCATGATCTCAGTATTTCAACATAATATAATATAATATATTATATTATATTATGTTGAAATACTGAGATCATGGTTTTGCTGACAAGATATAATGTGCAGCCTTTCGAAACAATCTAGAATTAGAAGCCTGCCTCAGGTGTTCGTCCTCTGTATCCTGTTGCTGCTCTGGAATACGAGCATCGATTACACCAAGGACTCGTTTGCTAGCATGGTGTTTGGACTTAACAGGGTGCCTGGCTTCGGGTTTTGCTTTGCAGGTGAGGTCATAGGAACCTCTGAGGATCATTCGGATTCATGTGTTCACGAGGCTTATTTCTTGGCCGAGGTTTGCCACGGGGATTTAGGGATCTTACCTTTGTTTAAAGCAACGGAGCCTCCAACGACAGTCTTAACGGGCTTTAGGGGGCTAGTTTAGGGTAGGAACGTGGGTTCGGTCCTTTGTAAGGAAGCTTCGGGTTAGTGGGTTTGGAGGTACAGGTTCGGGGTCAGGAGGGGCTTCATTAACAAACAAAAACCTTAAGTTACATCTTTGACTCTATACACCCAGGCTACACCCAGCAGGCCCACTGCCTCAAAGCAAGCCTATATTCCAGCAAACCAAACCATATTATGTTCGTGTCGCCGATTTATTGTCCAATCTCCATCGATGCTTTGCTGATATATAATTTAGTTCCGGAAACCCCTACTATACAAACCCTATAGAGTTGCCAGCTAATCGCTCATAACACACAAACCGCCGTGCGCCAGGAAGTGGACTTGACCGAACTTTTCGCTGGATCGGCGACCCTCTCGAAAGAATTCTATTACCAAGGAAAGGAGGTCGCTGCCTGTGACACTGTTTATGGCCGGGGAATGAATATCTGCGAATCTTCGGGCTTCGGGTAACTTGATGTTAACTTGGAGATGATGCAATTGACTTCTGATTGTAGCAAAAGAAGTTCCTGTCTGATCATTCGGAGCCGAGGACATTTTGTGCAGCAGTTCTATGTGGCCGCCCGAATTCTTGTGTGTGGCTAGGAGTTCTTTGCTCCTCCTGGGTTTCGATAGCCAAAGCAACAACCAAAAGATCCTTCGCGAATCCTGAAGGGTACACAGGATACCCAAAGGTTGTTTATTCCAATCTGATGGCGGCCAGGCCGGGCTTCATGGACATTCATTCGTTTAAATTTGTGTAAAACACTACTGTGCAAAGACTCCGGGGCACCCGATCGTCAGGTCAGCGCTGGTGTGCTTGCTGGCAGCTTCGCTTGGGCAGTGGTGGATACTGGAGCAACCCCGGTCATCTTTACTCATGGAAAGCGAGCGCTTTCTATGGCTAAAGAAGAAACTAGAAGTGCCTTGGGTCTAATTGTGATTTCCGGGTCTCGCTGTCTCTTGAACTCCATCTAACTCAGGAAATGCAGTAAATTTCTTGTATCTATAACTTCAATATCCTACATAATCCTATACCCGAAATACCCTGCATTCATGTTGGCCTTTGAGAGCCACGTATGCTTCTCAAGCCTCCCAAGTCCCACAACTATTGCAAAGCTTGTAAAACCAAGAAAATCCTCATACCTTGAAGCTACTTTTCTTCAGCCCGACCCCAACTTAATCTTCAACCCCCCAAAGAAACACACAAGCCTGGATTCTAACCGGGGTTTCGAGAAGAGCTGCTGCTTCGAGGTCCGTGCACATCTCGGAAGCCTCAGATCCCTAAGTAATTATTATGATACCATATAACCCTAAGCCCGGAGCCTAAACCCAAAACCCAAAACTATTTTTCGGAATGTCTTGCTAGAAGCCACTACAGACCTTTCACTGCAATACTTGTGTTCTCGTGCCTTTATGATATGTATGTCAAGATTCCGCACTTAGCTTTCCGAGCAGGGATTTCCCAAGGGAGCTAAGTCGGCTCGATGGTGTTGAGGGTGTGGAAATGACGACAGTGTTTCTTGCATACAGCTCTTCACTGTTCGATCGTTTTGGGGCGCGACCATGGGGTTCCCAAAGCTACCCCTTGTGCCTCTGTCGTTCCAGGTAAAGCTGTTCGGTGCTTTTATGGGGTCGGCAAGGTTTCATTATCGTGAAAAATGATCATATAACGGTTCCTACCTACACAGGTCTTAGTGGATTTGGGTTTATGAGGTTTCTTATTCTGTGCTGAGATTCTCTACAGGGTTTATAGGGCCGGGCTTGCTGGGACTATTCCATGGTATGGTCTATATATATATATATACTATATATATATATATATATGTTGTATATATATATATATATATATAGTTACAAGCTGTGATTTGGGGTGTCCAGGGTGCTACTTCACGAAATAAGAGAAACCCTGTGGACCGCAGAAAACCCATATTTATCTTTACCCATAAAAAGCCGGACCCCTTCTACTTACTTCGGTTCTTATGCTAGCCCAAGCGAGACTCTCCCGATCCCAATCCATTACGCCTTGCCCGAAGCCTATCCCCCAAACTTTGTCATTCCTGCTCGGTGCTTTTATGGGGTCGGCAAAGTTTCTGTTTTGTTGAGAATGATTATTTATGAAGGTTCCTACCTACACGGGTCTTAGTGTCTTTGGGCTCATGGGGTTTCCTATTCTGTGCTGAGGCTCTTCTATACAGGGTTTATAGGGCCGGGCTTGTTGGGACCATTCCGGGAGTACAGTGTAGATATCTGTTTATTCATGATATATATATATATATACATATAATATGTAATGGGCGTTTTGTATCTGGCATAATTTGTTATATAATCTTTGCTGCTGCTATATATAGCAGTAGTACATATAGTAATTCTTTTCGGGCTATATCGTTATATAAGCTGTGATTTGGGGAGTCGAGGGTGCAGTGCTACCTCACGACACAAGAGAAACTCGATGACCGCAGAAAACCCATATTTATATTTCCCCACATATTATATGCATGTAGTATATATCATAAGAACCGAAGTAGGTAGAAGGGGTCTATAATATTTATGTAGTATATATATATATATACTATACCTACTTCGGTTCTTATATTAGCCCACGCGAGACTCTCCCCGAACCCAATCCGTATGCGCCCTGCCCGAAGCCTATCTCCCATACTTTATAATATAATTCTTGGACCATTTCCCCTTGCAGCCAAGGTTTATCGGCTGAATCTCTGGATGTGCGCTTTCGGGGCGAAGACGCCAAAGCCGTCCAGCCTTTGGAGCAATTCCAGGATGATTTCTGGCTTCTTCACGAGTAAGCAAGTTCGGCGGGCCGGTACAAAAGGTAGCATCAAAACCACCGAGCGCTATGTGGACCACAAGGGGAAAGCTTGCTTCCAGGGGAATCGGAACCTCACAAATACCGGGACCCTTGGCTGTTCTCAGAGTTTGGCTTAAGGGTTTCGATCGGTTTGGCTTGGGTATGATCTTCCTTGGCCCAGGATCTATACTCGAGAATTTGCTCGCCGAGCCTTCGAGGTGACGCAGCTGGGCAAGGGTGCTCTTTCCAGGTCTGAGTACCCCTTACATGAGGTTGAAGAGGGCGAAGCGATTCAAATGTTTCGTGCGATGAGCGATGAAGATAGATGTGAAGATGCAGATCTAGTGTCAGTTGCACACTACCTTAGAGGATGCCGTGCCCTTGAGATCCCGGAGGAATGGAAAGCCGTTCTTCCCACTAGGTTATAGTAGTGGTACGGTCGGCGGCTGTGTGCACATCGATCTATATTCGGGGATCGACAGAAAGGTTGCTTCGCTGTGTGCATTGCATGCATTCCTCTTCCCCTCTGGGGCTGCGATTCGTGGCTTCCTTGGCCTTTGTGCCGGGTGCAAGTCTTGTGCCGGGTGCAATTCCACCGGTTCTCTTATTGGGATTGTTTCCGGGATGAACTTTTGGAGGCTCCAAGGAATTCGTATCCAGGGGTGTAGGAGGATTGTTGTCGAAGGGGATGGGTCGTTGTTGTTTCGTTCCGTGGCAATATAATTACCAAGGGTTTTCAGAACGGTTTTGCGTGTTTTGCAGGATTCTGACCGTAAAACAGGCCAAAAGAGCGTAATTCTCCTCATGAGCCCATTTGCTATTTAATGCCACAAAACCCCGTAAAAGACCATAATTCTTGAAAACCCCAGCTGCTAGGAGACAAAAGGAGCGTAAATTCAGGAACAAATCCCTGCACCAACCCCAAAAGACCATAATTCCGTCGAGCAAACCGTAGGCGAGGACAAGCAAAAGACCATAAAAAACCATAATTATGGCCAGAAACCCAAAAGACCATAAAACACCCACCCAAAAGACCATAATTTCGTGTAAATCCCACGCGCTAAAGGCCATAAAGAAGCGTAGGAAAAGCGTAGGAAAAGCGTAGAAAGACCATAAAATAGCGTAGAATAAAACCGTAATTCTAGGCCAGGCAACAGCACCCTTCCAAACCACAGCAGCACGCGATTTGCCGGGATCTGCAGGGATTGCACACGTTGGCAAAGCCGTCGTGCACTCCTCAGCAGTTCGATCATCTTTGTGATGTACAATAATTTGAATACCCGTCCGAGATATGCTGCATTTTAATGCATGTAGTACAAACCCCCGAACCCCATAAACCCTTAATCCGAAATACGTTCCTCCCTCTGGTACGATCAGGGAGCAGGCCGCAGCTTACCACTCTCGGTGCCCACGTCGTCCGGATCTGCAGGCTTTTGAGTGGGCCCAAGTGTGGAAATGCCACGGGAGGCTAAGACCTTCCTTTCCCAAGCGTGGTCTGGGAGCTCTTTGACTTCTGGAGCACAAAACATGTTTGCTGCTTTCATCAAGCAAGAGCAAGCACTACCTGATGACCCGGATTCACTGAGACAGAGGGTTGAGGACAGTCTCATGTGCACTCTGTTCTGTTCCGTATGATGATCTTTTTTGGTGATCTATATGCCAGGATCTTCGGCGACAGCTGGGTATGGGCCCGGCTGTCAAAGAGGTGCCTGCCTTGGGCTCCCATTCTTAGTTGGCTTCTGTTGCTTACAAGAGTTTTGAGGAGCCGTGCGGGGATGCAAAGCAGCCTGGGCAAATGAAGGAGCGCAGGTTCCTAGCACAAACCCAATGCATTCCGGACATATGCTCATATCAGGAGACCGGATTGGACAAGGAGGCCGCCTGGTCGGTCTGGGTTTTCCTTCTGATTCGTTCATGGTAATGTGGTAATGTCTCTCTCTCTCTCTCTCTCGCTCTCTCTCTCTCTCTCTCTCTCTCTCTCTCTCTCTCTCTCTCTCTCTCTCTCTCTCTCTCTCTCTCTCTCTCTCTCTCTCTCTCTCTCTCTCTCTCTCTCTCTCTCTCTCTCTCTCTCTCTCTCTCTCTCTCTCTCTCTCGCGGCTTGTCTCTGTGCAGGCCCCGAAATCTTCAGGAGCCGAAGCTGCCGTCTCGTCCTCAAAATGAGCTTCTGTGCATCACAACAGTACCGGAAAGTCGGGTATAGAGTCTGAGTATCCGGATGTTGTCGTGGTTAGGCTTTGATCACCTTATCTATAAAACCCTAGAAACCCTTATATAAACCCTATATAACCCTATATAATCCGACTTCTATAACATAAGCACCCCTGATTCCGATTCCCAGGCCCCGGAAGTCAATGCAGTCCATCGGATCCAGGAGGAGCCCCAAGCGAACAACAGCAAGGCCAGCCGCAGAATTCGTGAGGTGTTATTTGTTCTCTCTTCTGTGGCATTCTTTCTGGTGGTTTATGGCTTTGATCACCCTAAACCCTACAAAACCCTATAAACCCTTACAAACCCTATATAACCCTATCCCAAATAAAGCATAAACACCCCGCTTCCGATTCCCAGGCCAAGCAAGTCACTGCAGTCCATCGGATCCAGAAGGAGCCCCAAGCGAACAACAGCCAGGCCAGCCGAAGATTTGGTGAGGTGTCATCTGTTCTCTCTTCTGTGGCATTCTTTCTCTAGGCCACGACATCTCCAGTATCCCCAGCTGTGGTGGGACCCTCACAGTCTGACTTGCATCAGTGATGACCATTGTAGCCAGAATTGGAAGACCCCTCTCTCCGAAAGGCTCCGAAGTCTTCACTGCCAGCTGCCGAGTCACTGGTGACTCATGAGGATGCCACCCAACAGGCATTCCTTATCCATGACTGATCTTTCTCTCCTCCGCTGCATGGTCTCTATATTTGCATGTCTGGTGCTCTCTACGTCTGCGCCTCGCTCTCTCTCTCTCTCTCTCTCTGTCTCTCTTCTCTGTCTGTGTCCCGCTTCGCTCTCTGTCTTGTCTCTGTGGAGGAACCGGAGTCTTCAGAAGCCGAAGCTGCCGTGTGGTCCTCAAAATATGAAGATGCTTCTTTTCCCTCTGATACGATCTCTCGCTCACCTCTCTGCTTGTCTCTGTGCAGGCCCCGGAATCTTCAGCAGCCGAAGCTGCCGTGTGGTCCTCAAAACATGAAGATGCTTTGTTTTCCCTCTGATACCATCTCTCTCTCAACTCTCTGCTTGTCTCTGTGCAGGCCCCGGAATCTTCAGCAGCCGAAACTGCCGTCTCGTCCTCAAAATGAGCTTCTGTGTATCACAACAGTACCGGAAAGTCGGGTATGTGCAGAGTCTGACCGGGGAATGTTGTGGTTTAGGCTTTGCGCACCCTAAACCCTCTAAAACCTTATAAACCCTTATGAACCCTATAACCCTATAACCCTATAAACCCTATAATCCCTATATAACCCTAAAAACCTTAAACCGACCTGTCACCCCAGATAGCTCCAACGTCGCAAATAGAGTTCTGCCCAGGCTCCTACAGTCCCTCGGATCCAGCAAGAGAAGCCCCCAGCGAACAACAGCCAGGACTTCCTCTCTCTCTCTCTCTCTCTCTCGCTTATCTCTCTATCTCTCTCTCCTGCCCCTGCCTCACTCTCTCGCTCTCTGTGTCTCTGCCTCTGTCTCTCTCTCTCGCTCTCTCTCTCGCTCTCCCTGCCCCTGTCTCTCGGCAGCAGGCCCCAGCATCTCCAGCCGAGAAGTTCACCGAGTCCAAGCCGATGCAGGCACACGCCCTTTTGAACTGTCTGGCTGAGCACCCATAGATTTGTAAACCCAATAGTCTATATACCGTGTAAACTCTTCTAAACCCTATATCCCTATCCTCGTCGTGTCGGGGTCTTCTCTTCATTCGACACCCTTCTCTCGTTGATTCTTAAAGAGACACCACTAGAGAAGTGCTAATAACACTATAATTACCCCCAACCTCAATTGGCTCCAGAAGACCCAGAAGTGCCAAAGCCAAGCCATGGAATTCCACCCGAAGTGAAATCTTTCTAAACCGAACCAAAGTCACCCGAGCTCTCCAAGGAAACTTGTGCATGCCTCGGATAGGTCGCCATGCAGCCGGAGCTCATGTCCCAGCCAAGCACTCCGTCACCTTCGCACATCCAGGACGAGCTGGCTTAAGTTTGTTTCGTATGGTTATATAGGTGCTATAGGGTCCCTGGACTATGTAGGACGTTGCTGCACAGCTCGGAAATCTGCCAGCCCCTCAAACGGCTGAGTTCTCAGTTCAAGAAGTAGAATGCAGGATTGTGGTCCAATAGTTATATTAGACGAACCCCATGCATTTATGAGGCCCGGGAGAAACAACTGTATGAGATCATTGCGCACTTGAAGCAGATGCAGCCGGGGACGCCGAGCATCTTTGCTCCCGAGTCCGTGCACAGTTCGAGTGATCTTTAGTTGCATTTATATATAGTCCCAGAAGCACCAATGTTCGGTGTCGATTCCTGCCGACTCCCAGGCATCCCCGAACGAGCGGAAGGCAAAACCAGTGAGACTGGACTCGACGGCATCCTTTGCTACCCGCGCCTCGGTGAGCACCGAAGAGGAGCAGCAGGAGGGGCAGCCCGAGCCGCCAAAGAAGCCAACCTTGGCTATCGTCGCAACCGGCCCGCAAACCGTGCCGAACCCTTCCGAGCTTGGTGAAACCGACAACGACTCGGACAACGACGAAGCCCGCAACAAGCTCTACAACAAGATGGAGGCCAAGCTGCGCCGCATGTGTACCCCCAGTCCCACCACGGGCCGGGTCTCGGGCAGTCCCGAGCTGGTCAAAGACTGGCTTGAAAAGGGGTATAAAAGGGTGCAGCTCGTGAAGATCATGTTGGAGGCCGGCGGCGACAAGGCTCGCTCAGGAGAAGGAGAGAGAAGAGAGACCGAAAGAGAGAGAGAGAGAGAGAGAGAGAGAGAGAGAGAGAGAGAGAGAGAGCGAGAGCATGAGAGTCAGCCAGAGAGGGAGGCAAGGGAGTGGGAGTGACCAGACGCAGACACGACAGGCGGTGTTCACCCAGAAGCTGGAGTCATGGCGAAAGACGGAGTAGTTTCGCAAGATCAAAACCAAGGGTGGATGGTACAGCGAGGCAGATATGCGCAAGCCTGTGAGTGAAGGAGGCCTCGCCTTCTCTGTGAGTCCCGCATGCACGATATACCTGGTGAAGCTAATTTAAGTACTTAATTAAGATAATAAAAGACCCTAATAAAAACCCAGAAACCCTCATAAATCTCTTGCCGAGGAAGAAGGTGCAGAAGGTCAAAGCCTTCTGCGAGAAGCACGGGTTCGTGCGGTCCCATGGTTGCATAGGAATTGAATCTCGGGTCCAGGGTTATTTAGGGGAAACGAGCAAGTATACTTACTCTACCCTGGATATATCCTGTCGAGAAAAAGCTGCACAGATGTGCATGCATGTTACATCTTGTAAACATATTGCACTTTAAGTGAAACACAGGGTGCTTCAGATCATGAATTGGGTCGTTGCTCGGGCTCACTTACTCCTGACCTAGGCAGAACCAGTACGATGAGGACGAGATGGAGTATTGGGTTGATTACAGGACCGAAGGCTCCCGTGGCACCAATGAGAGTGACGGTGTTATGGAGAATCGGGTGGCCGACACCTCCGGTGCCCAATCCTTTTTGACTGATGCATTGGACGATGCTCCGATGCCGGAGCTTCCCATGAATGGGACAAGTGCAGCCGGGATTCGGAAAGAGCCGGGTCAGGACGGTTCTTCTAAATTAATTATATGGTGTATTTCGAGTCGGAGTCTTAACCTACCATCTCCCTACAGGCTGATGCTAGCGCCGTCGGTAAGCTGATGGACGAGGCCCTCTCAACCCGCAAGAACCTGGACAAGCTTATTAGCAAGATGAAGAAGGATAAGGCGGCCCCCTCGAACTTTTGTTGCAACTAATAAATTGAAACACAAGCACCATCCAGCCCAACATCCGGCAGCCCAGGGACATCCAGGGCATGGAGGACTGCATCGCGAAGCTGGGCTCGCTGTACGATGACTTGGCGGGAATCCAGGCTGAGGTGAAGGTCAACGGTATGAGCTCTGCGCTTCTCTATCGCATTAAGGGCTTCTGTGTTGCTACGGGTGCCATGGGGGTGTCAACATTTTCGCTTGGTTTGCTAACCCAGGCTTCAGCAACAGCTGGACGAGAAGACCAAGGCCGTGAAGCGCCAGTGCATGTCTGAGCTGATCAGAACTCATGATCCAAATAACTGTGCATTTACACAGCCATAGTGAAATAACTGGGGTCTAAGTGTGTGCCGAGGTGTGTTCTGGCCGTATCCTGCGAGCTGAAGAACAAGTGGCTTGATCAACTTCTCTAATGTCCTGGTTTCTATGAACCTAATATTGGGGTACATATGGTTGTTCTGGATTTACATATGGGGATTTTGGAGGTTCACTCTTATTGTCAGGATCCCTTCTTGTGCTCCAGCTTCGAAAGAGGAGGTTGCTTCCTAGATACGGGCTACTAGGGGAAGGGGAAGCCTAAATAATAGAAAGGTTGTATTATAGAAATCTTAAGACCATATTTAGGAAGCCTGTAAACTGTACCTAAACCGTACATCTCATACACTGGGAAGATCACAAGGATACCTTCCGACATTATACAAAACCTTATAAGCCTTGTATCGATAATTAGCTCACAAGCCCTGTGAAACCCAAATGACTTTCCGAGTGTTTCAAGTTCTTGTGATGCCTCACAAAATCCAAGAGAACAGTCGAAACTCCCAGAACCATGTCCTTATGCACCCACTCAAAACCCGAATCCCCTGATTGGGTTTCTCGAAGATTATCTCGTACGATTACAGGGCCCCTTAGGGTTATATTAAAAATACTGATGTAAGGACTCCTGTGTATAAGTACCTTTCTGAACCCCGAGGTCTATGAAGCGCAAGGACACCGACGACAAGGAGAAACCCAATGGACCGCCTAAGTCAAAGGCTAAGGCCGCTCCGAAGACCAAGCCAAAGAGAGCTAAAGCCTAAGGTTCCTGCTTTTGCTACGTGATACATGTCGGGACCGGGATGAGTCAAGCTCGATCACGTGTGAGATTTATATTCATCATGTTGATATTGATGTGTGATCGCAAGCATCGTCCCGGGATGTGTCAATTTCGATCAGTGTGAGATAAATCACATTGATAATGCTCTGTGATCGGAAGCATCGTCCATGTTTCCTCGCGAGATTTTGGGGCAGGACGCTGTGAAAACTGTGCTTATGCATGTACGGTGAGTAGGCTTGTGTGCCGAGATGCCAATGCCAGCTGAAGCACGCCAAACGCATGCCTGTTGGAGTCTGCATGAAGTATGGAAGTACATAAGCCAGGTCTGGATTACTTCGTCCAGGCGAGCCACAAGGCACGTGATTACGTGCGAAGCTACGGCAAAGGGGCTGGGGTCTCAGGTGTGGGAGTTGTGCAGGGTTCTTCCATAGATGGTATTTGGCTTCCTTGCATAGATGATTTTTGGCTTCGGGATCTTGATACTGTGATTTTACAATCATGTATGCAGGCCTTCAGGTCCTGGCTTTGGTTTGTCTCACGTTGCGCAATCCGAAATCCGAAATCCCACGTTGCCAATCATCCCAAAACTTTCACCTGAGGGGCAGAACCTTCCCACTATAACCATGCATTGGAAGGTTAACAGTATTATTGGGCTAGTTCTATACCTCGATACCGCAATAATCCTCATGAACCCCTACAGGACCCTAGGAACCAATATATCGATTAAGTAGCAAACCCCGACCAAAGCCACAAAGACAACGCCTTGGAAACCATTCTCGAGTGCCCTGAATTGATGAAATCTTATCATTGCGACTTTATGAGCCTATGACAAAAACAAGTTAAAGGAATCGGGCTGAAACCCGGAATAACAAAGTAGTTGAGTCCCATGCAGGCTACTACCGCCACAACTTCATGCAACGGACAAGCCACTGCTCGCCCAGGTCCCCGCCAAGGACATCGTCGACAGGGCCAGAGCCTCCAAAAAAGATGGGGATCCGTTGTGCGACGCTTGCCGAGCTGTAGCTGATGTCTCTGATGGTCACGGGGAGTCCGGTGTTTACAATGCTCTGATAAAGACGAATCTTCTGGTTACCGTACCATGGACACACGTTCATATCGGAGATGGCCCGCTGAGGCAACACCCGGCTTTTCGGCCGAGGGATTTTATTGATACAATGGCACAACTGAATCGATTCCATTGTGTGCTAGGTACGGAGCTGGCATCTGCGCCAGTAGTACTCAAGGACTTTTGGTGCAGCTACAAGAACCAGTTCGCGAGCCACCCTATTGCAGAGCAGATCGCTGCAGGATCAGTGGATACAGAACACCTTGTGCCGTTAAGTCTTCATGGGGATGGCGGCCGGACTTATAAAAAGTCCGAGCTGATGATCTTGCAATGGCAGCCTGCAATCGGAGCTGGGACCTCGAAGTCGAAGACATCTTCTAGGAAGCGCAAACTTGATAATGATATTGATGCTGCCGCTGTGAACCTATTGGGCCACAGTCTAGCTACAAGGTATCTGATGAGTGTGCTCCTCAAGAAGTACTATATCGAGGATTCTACACCGCTCCAGACTCTCCTGGGTTTTATTTCTGACTGGTTTGGGGATCTTTGGGAGAACGGCTATGAGTATGAGGGTCAAATCTGGAAATTCATCCCGATAGGCTTCAAAGGCGACTTGGTGTTTCAGGCAAAAGCTGCTAACCTGCAGCGATCCTTCACCCGTGTCCGCAAGAAGAGAAAAACTCCGAAATCGAAACCACTCGTTGGATGCTGCCCGTGGTGTCTCGCGGGTACTGAAACTGTCGCCTTCGAATGTTTTGACAAAGATGCCGCTTGGATGCAAACTACGGGGGCCCGGAACCCGGCACCCTGGACAGAGCCGCCGACAATCCTCCGAGCAATCCCCCACAGCCCTGACCAGCCGTCTTTCTTGAAACCCGACCTCTTCCACGTCTTGCAGATGGGCATTTACAAGGAATTTGCTGCGAGTGGGCTCTGCTTGCTGCTGTCGGAGTGTGGTGGAACCTCTAACGATGAGAATATGGCACATATGAACCGGTATCTGGTCACGTATTGCAAGGAACGGAATGTGAATCTGCACATGAGCAAGCTCAGTCTGGATCTGATTGGTGCCAAAACACCCACCACATATGCATGTGGTGGCTGGAACAAAGGACAGGATTCGGTGATTCTGATGGGTTTCCTGCTATGGCTGATCCGTAGCTCGCTTCTTTCTCGGTTTAGGCTTATATAGGGTGAAGATTATATGGTTTTCCTATTTAACAAGGTAGGTAGGTTTCTTTTTCCGAAAATCCTCTGTTGTGTCCCCGCAGTATAAGCTTTTAAATCCTATAATCAAAGTACCATAAACCGCCCTCGAAAGACTAATTCCCTCAAGGTACGCTTGGTCTTTCTACTGTGGAGAAGCCCTGGAAATACCTGGCTGAGGCTTGCACTTGTATGGAAAATGCAATGCGCATACTTTATTCAGAAGGTGCTTTCATGCCCAAGAGCTCTGCCCTGGAAACCGCTGAATGTGGTTACAGATTTCTCTTGTGTTACTCGTCATTGGTGCGTTGGTCGATGAACAAGAAGAAACTGCTCTTCAATTTAGTGCCGAAACTCCACTACCTCCATCACATCTTGGAAGATCTGAGATCTGCTGCTGAGAATCCAAAGGTAACGCATGTGTACAATCCTGTGGGAAACTGCACCTCTCAATGTGAGGACTTCATCGGGCACATTGCCCGATTATCGCGCCGTGTTTCACCCAGAACGCCTCATTCTCGTGTTTTGCGCAGGTATACGGCCGCCCTAGCCGACAAGCTGGGATTGCTGTCGTGACGAGCTTGTCTCGATCCCCTTAGAAGACCCCCAATATAAGGCTTTATATATATATATATATATATATATATATACATGGGTGCTAGTATCCCAGAAGGGCCGAGCCTGCACGTGGCGCACTCGTGAGCAGCGCCGCCAGCAGGAGTGGAAATGGCATTCGAAGGCTTTTCGTGATCTTCTGTGATAAATTACAGTTCAGGTGGTGGAATCCTGGTTTTCTGCGAGTTCAAGCAATGTAGATTGCAGTGTTTGGTGTAGCTTTTGGTTTGCGAACCTCGCTCCAAGGCTGCAGGGTGTGACAGCTGGATCATTCTTATATTCACCCCAAGAATATACTCTGATTAAACCCCGAAAGGTCCGAGGGTTTTCGAGGATTTCTGGGGCTCAACAAAGGTGTGCCGTCAAAGTAGTAATTGCAATCCACCCCCATATATAATATATACGGCGAAAACCAACGAAACCATTAAAAACACAAAAGAGCGTAAAAAACCCAAGCCCGACCGTAGGAGCGTAAAAAAACAGTGAAAACCGTAGGGGCGTAAATGCGGCCACCTGGGGTTACCCAGGTATAGGCAGGTCTCTACATTCGGCTCCCTTTGTGAAACCCAGCAAAAAGAAACACTCGTACAAAAAGGGCCCTAAAAGGGACCCTCCTTTCGAGAACCACAAATGGGTGGTTGTCAAAATTATGGTCCCTTTTTGGGTACCCTAAATATTCGGTGCCGTATTATAATAAGGACTCAGGACCCAAAAACGGACCCTAATATTGACAACCACCCAAATGGTAAATAGTCTTCGGGCCATCAAGGAGCGCTTGGAAACGGGCTTGTGTCCACAGTGACTGGCCAGCGGTGAAGCTGATAAAACCTTCGCTGATAGCACGGCTAGGCTTTCGGGCCAGTGGGATTCAGGTTCTACTAGTAAAGCTGGAAGGTTTCAGGCTTATAGGGTGTGTTGTTTAGGATTTCTCGACGGACGGAGTCTATGGCATGTCAAGGTTGTCTGGTTGGCTCTCCTCGGGGCATAGATGTCCACCGGATGTCCTTCTCTGCTCCTCCTTTTGCTTCTTGTTGGTCCGTCTTAGGGTGCAGGATCTGGGGTTTGAGGGTTGAGGTTCTGCTTCTCTATCTGCTTCGCCTACCATAAAATTTGATTGCGGCTGTGCAGGACTGCCGAGGCCGTCTGTGCCACAAGTATACTACGGGTGTGATACTACAAGCCTTCGTAGTCGCAGTAATCGTCGACGTAGTGGCGGTAGTGGTCGTTGTCGTGGTCGTAGTGCCGATGGCAATAGAACCAGTGGCAGTGCTGGTAGGGTAGCAGTAGTGGCAGTAGTGGTAGTATTGGTAGTAGTGGTAGTAGTGGTGGTAGTAGTGGCAGTAGTGGCAGTTCTGGTAGTGGTGGTGGTAGTAGCGGTGGTAGTAGTTCTAGCCGTGGTGGTAGTCGTAGTAGTAGTCGTCGTCGTGTTTGTTGTCGGTGGTGTTGTAGCAACAGCAGTGGCGGCAGCAGTAGAAGTTGTGGTAGTGGCAAGAGAAGTACTAGTCGCTGTGGTCGTCGTGGCCGTCATAGCCGTAGTACTAGTCGTAGTAGTTGACGTCGCAGCAACTAGTAGTCGTCGTAGTAGTAGTAGTCGTCGTCGTCGTAGTAGTAATAGTAGTAGCAGTGGCAGTAGGAGTAGGAGCAGGAGTAGGAGTAGTAGTAGTAGTAGTAGTAGTAGTAGTAGTAGTAGTAGTAGTAGTAGTAGTAGTAGTAGTAGTAGTAGTAGTTGTAGTAGCAGTAGCAGTAGCAGTAGCAGTAGCAGTAGCAGTAGCAGTAGTAGTAGTAGTAGTAGTAGTAGTAGTAGTAGTAGTAGTAGTAGTAGTAGTTAGTAGTAGTAGTAGTAGTAGTAGTAGTAGTAGTAGTAGTAGTAGTAGTAGTAGTAGTAGTAGTAGTAGTAGTTGGAGGAGGAGGAGGAGGGGAGCTAATGGTCTTTGTGCCCGTACTTCTTTGCAACTGCTTGTGGCCATTGTTGCAAAGTCAGGACCAAGCAAACAAACACATCCGCGACCAGCAGCACTACCAGCACCACCAAGCTATGCTGCTGAGAACGGGGTTATTGTACATATATACACACACATACATACATACACATGTGCATATATATATATATATGTGCTTCATGTATATTGCTTGGCAAGTTTAACCTAACTTGTTGCCTATGTACAAAACACAGTTGAAACAACATATGCCGCGCTATACACCTTTACATCTCGCTGTATGCATCCCGTTACGTTTCCAGGCCCAGACATTGTCAGATTTGTTTGCTGCACCTGAAAATGCAAATGTCCTGCATGCTGTGATCATACACGAAGTTGCTGAGTTCATAAGCCCCCCAAAAGTGTACACCTTTGGCTTTATAGTGGGAAATATTATCCCCAATAGTGTAAAGTGTATCCACTCAGCTACTAAGCACAGTGTCTCTGCTTATTCGTCTCAGCAATTAGCCGGGCGGCTCGGGCTTCAGATGCAGCAAGACGGCGGTTGGATCGTGCCTTCAGCCAGAGACCCGGCGGAGGTTGAGTCATGCACCAACCCACCGAAATATTCGGCCTCGAAGGTTTCGGGCTCAGGTTGTTCAATGTTGGCCATAAACCAAAAGCCTATAAAACTCCGTTTGGATGAGATGAGCAGTAGAATCCTGAACTTCCTGCCCAGAAGATTGAACCAAGAATACGAAATAAAATCACAGGGGAATCCCGGATGAGGGCAGCGAAATTGGGATGAGTTCTACGATGCCAAGCTCAGGGTCAAGCCTACGGACCCGAAAACCATAAGTTCAAACGCCCGAAACAAAACCGAAACCTAGAACCCGAACGCCCTAAATCCCCTAAACGCCGCCCTGGGTGCAACGGCATGCCCCCCTCGTAGCCGACCGTCTCGTAGGCGCGCTCATAGAAGCGTGTGATCTCCCAGATAAAAGGACCTGTGAGAAGGGACACAGTATGGGTTTAGGGTTAATTTGAGGCTAAGGGCTAATAGTAAAGCGGGTTCTTTTTAGCTTTGATTTGTTGGGGGACTACAACCCACATATAATCCTAACAGCCAAAAAAAGCTGTATAAGGAGTCTACTAAAGGTTCCAGAAAGGTTGGGGGAGTTTCGGGCGGCTATTAAGGTCTCTGGATGCAAGATTCTAAACCCTAAACATCTTCACGGGGCCAGCTGTGGCGTGCTCCATTTGTCTTCGATCGACGCGGGAATTGCAGAAAACAAAAACCCAAAATGAATAGCGGGATCTGTCATGGAATGACCCCTTAAATTTCAACTTCTGAAATTACGGCACGCGGCCTTGGCAGTCAGGAAGCCGACAACTAGCATCCTGAGACCCCGAAAACCCAAACCTTATAAAACTCGTACTCAACCCTAGCCCTATACCCGAAACCAGAAATGCCCCCCCCCCCCGCCGCCACAGTATCTCTTGTAGGGACCCTTATAGAACTCTTAAGTTTTACAGCTCAAACAATCCCCTACCCCCGAAAAATGAGCAGCTGCGAAGGCCTGCTGGATTCGGGAGGTCCCGCACTTTGCTCAAGAAGTCCGGGGACAGCCTGACGTCAGCAATACAGGGGCCTTAATGTCACGCAGTCTAGGGTTCTTTGAAGGCTGCTTGAAAGGCGTATATGAGGGTTCCCTAACACGAGTGCTCGCAAAGTGGATGCTCATCCCATTCGAGCTGTCAATGCTGTTGTCCCTCGTCCTTTTCCAAAGGCTCGTTCCTCCGTCTCAGACTCCCGAATTCTTTTCATCCTCTTTGTCAGATTCTGGAGTCCCTTGAGAGCGATTACACCCCTGGATTTTCTGATTCGAGTGGTTCGCTCTTCTTTCTCAGGTTGACTAGTCCCTTTCGGACGGTTCGCTCCTCTTTACTCAGATTCTCTCGTTCCTTTCGAGCTGTTCGCTCTTCTTAGGTTGGCTAGTCTAGTCCCTTTTCGGACGGTTCGCTCATCTTTGCTCAGATTCTCTAGTTCCTTTCGAACAGTTCGCTCTTCCTTCTTAGGTTGGCTAGTCCCTTTCGGACGGCTCGGTACTCTTTACTCAGATCCCTAGTTCCTTTCGATCGGTTCGCTCTTCTGACGGTTCGGCCCTCTTTACTCACACGTCGCTCCGCTTGCTCACACAAGACCCAAGGCCCGAAGCTCCAAGCATCTTCGGCCAACGATTCGCTTCCTCGGCGCTTTTTCAAGACGAGCCGCCAGGATGGTCTTGTGACGTCCAAGGATGCGACCTCCGAAGCGTTTCGGGGTTAAGGCCTTTTTCCTGGCGTCTGTTTTTCGTAATTTGTTGTCAGGCTTTCAACCTTTAGGGGTTCTCCTTCGTAGGGTTTTCTGCAACTCTGGCGTGTAGGGTGCCAGGGCTTTAAGTGCTGGGTTAAC